CTGGCATGACATGTCCGAATTCGTCACACTCGCTCGGAGAAAATTGGGAGGAAAAATAACACGCTCGACTAAGAGCCGGACTCGGGAAGAAGCGCTGAGCGATAACGCAGGAAGGGAATCCCACGCGGCGAATGAGCCGTGGCGGAGAGTCGTTCCATCCAGAAGACTTAAACGGATCTATCAAAAATGAATCCTGTACCGCAAGCTTCCATTGATGCAAAGCGAAAGGATTCCCATCGATGCAGAGCGAAAGCGCCTCTGTACGACGACCGAAATGTGAATAGAGCCGGAATGAGATCAACGGTATCTCCGTGAGCCGAATGTCCCGACGGGATCGCTCGACCTTTCGGAAAATGATGGACGGGGACATCTTACGAGAACTTCGCCCTCTACAAGGACAGCGATTCCTCGTTGTCAGTCATCGCCTTTTTGGGAGGATCTCCCGCCCCGATCGGAAAAACGTTGCTGCGAAGGAGAGGCGAAATCGTTTCACGAGTTCGACCTCAAATCCACCATCCGAGGTTTCCGGACGAATCGGAACATCTGATGGGGAAAGTATTTGGTGGCGCAAAGAGGGACTTTGGACTTTTTTGGTAAGAGCATAGTTCTGATAATAATTCTCTAACTTCACAGGGATAACAGCTCATTCGCCCAAAAGCATGCAGGACGCAGGCTCGATCGGCTCCTCTCGACCCGATTGTACCCGTCTGGAACGTTGTCCGATAATATGAAAGTATACCTATATGATGATTTGACATTCCTCCGATGAAAATGAAACAAAAAACCATATAATTAAGCGCTCCTCCGAAGCCAGCTAGAAATTCCAATAACGGAGAGAGCGAGCGTTCTGCGATCAATGAGATGACAGACTGGCTCGTCAATTTGACTTGCGTTCTCGAAAATGATTTAGCGATACATTTTCCACTCATTTATTTTCCTAATACTTGACTTTTCGGCAGTTTAATGATTACCAAGCGAACATCAATTTTCGAAGCGAGCGTCATCTCTCGACTGTGACCGTAGGCAGCCGTCGCGTATGTGGACACAGAATGCGGACAATTTCGGAAAAAAATCATCCACGGGATCAAATTGTAGCTCGTTACTTCAAACTTCTTGCGCTGACGTCGTTCGTCATTCACGTCATTGATCGTCTGTTACATTTTGTTTCATTTTCTGCTCGTCGTCTGGACAAACTTGGTGGCTTTCTGTGGGGGACCGCTTCCATCTTCATCATAATCACGGGAATCATGTTTCTTCACAGCACCGACTTCGACAGGGAAGATGGTCGCACAGTTGGAAGCCTTCCTGAATTTGTTCATACTCCATCATATTCATTGTCCAGGCGGGCTAATTATCGATTAAGCAGCTGGGCTTTGAAGCTTTCCAGCGGAGATTCTGTCCATCATGGCTAATCCATGTATTGTTCTTCCTGATTCCATTCCAGCGCAATGCCATTGAACCCGTCCCTCCCATAAATCCGCCTAGGGTATACTGGGAAAAGATACCGATTGAGAACCCATTCAGGACGCTTTTCGTTGATCTCGGCTCGATAGTGTTCGCGATCCAGGGAGTGAGGAGCAGTCCTGAATCGCGGAATCCTCAGAGACGTTGTGATTCCCGAAGGATGAGTCCGATGGTTGAATTCCCATCGATGGCAGTTATTCCGATCGACTGCTTTTGATATCACGACTGTATCATCTCCCCCAGCGAACGATATTTTGTGTCTTCTTGTGTTCGGCGTATGTTTCATATAGGCTTCACAGAAAGCGGAAGCTCATGTCTCTTCCCAGCCAGGAATTCCCATAGTCGCGATGGACCCGTGCAGGCACCTTAGAGGTGCTCTTGACCGCGAGGTCGGCCCAATCATGGGGCCACAGGTGACATCGTGTCCAGATACCATCAGCTCAGCTAATCGGCCACCGACAGGGGGGTTGAGCTCGTGTGCGATCCACAATACTCCACTCATCTAAAATGTCGTCGTTTGAAGCCCGCGTTCGCCTCCGAAGACATTCAATACTTTGCGAGAAGTCTATTAGACACTTTCCACGTATACGTTCGAGAAACAAGGGAAGTTGACGCCACTGATCTTGATTCTAGGGAGCGGGGAGTGATACGCGTGCACAATTCCAGGTGGCTCCGATGAAATCACAGAGGGACACCCTCATACCGCTCCTTCGGGAAGGTCCTCGCGGAGTTCTTAACACCCCGCCGTGAATCATCCTCCGGCGTTTCGATTTCTCATCGAGCTCCGATGTTTCAGATCAGTTCCGTCATTCAACGCTTCTTGTAAAAGATGAAGGCCTCTCCATTCGGTTCCGGATGTGGATCTTAATCCGCTGAATCTGAATTCATATTTTAACCTGTACCAAGCACTTGTAACGACCCCGGCTCCGGATGTTCGCAGAGCCAGATTCTCCGTTGATGGTATTCCGATTTTCCTGCTTCTATCTGAATTATAATGATACGCGAGGGAAGAATTGCCGTCGAATGCCATGGTGACAGGCGATTTCCTACGATTCCGCGAACTCCCTATTGGGAGTGTCTCGCTTGAATTCTACCGTCTGGGTCTTCCTCTGCATATCGAAGTCGAGTTCACCGAGCCGAATGAAGACGTTTTACGCTTTTCACTTTTTTCTATTAAGTTTGCGGTCCGCTACGGTCGCTAAGCCCAGATGGTGGTTGGAACGCTTGCGAATAAGCACTAGGCGAGGTATCGACGTTGCGTGCCGATATTCTGATAACAGAGCAGTGAAGAACGATTCGCAAGGTGAACTTTCAAGCCACTTACGGATGCTTGTCGAGTAGGCAAATCGATTCTGCGGATCTTTGCGCAACAGAAACAGAAAGGTGAGGCGTTCGCGATGGCACAACAACATGCTCTTATGATTCTCTAGAATCATTTGCTACGGTGGAAGGTTGCGATAGAATATGAATACCTGATAAGGTACGAAGTGCTCGTCCAGGAATACGGTCGATAAGCGTGAACTTGCCGCAAGCATCCAGGGGTTCAAGCCTGATTTTCCGGAGAGATTCCGAGACTGGCGAACAGGTCCGAACATGCAATCTTTCCCTGTTGGGAATGTGAAAACCGAAAGGACTCCCGCGACGACAACAGCAACAACAACGACAACAACAACAGGAGCGACAACGGTGGTGCTCATGATGAAGATAATAAATAGTAAAAATGACAGCCATAATCATGAATTACTGTGGCCTTGTGCACCGCTCGAACAGTTCGCGGGTTCGTTCCTTTGTGCGTTTGTAATTCAGAGAAACGTCATTGTCGAGCATTGTCGAACATTCTAAGATCAATCACGATCATTCGTGAAAATAACTGTTCAATGCTGCTGCTTTTAGTGCCGCCGCCACCACCGCCGCACTTGTGACAACGCCGACGTTCACCCGGCGTCGAGCCTGTTGAACCCTTCCCGGCTCGAAGTTATGAAATGGATTCCGCCAGCCGTTCCAGCGATGGTTGGATACGGTGAAAGCCGGCCCGGACGAGCTGTCAATGGTTCACAGAGTTACGAAGCAGGACGTCTAGTCGACTAAACAGTTGACGCGAAAGAGCGGGTTAAGCCCTTCAGTCCTTCAGAAGACATAGTGGCTGGTCATTGCCCACAGCTATCGTACAGGACCACCAACCACGCGCGCAGACGGATGCATTCGTCAGTCGCATACGGTCCTTTTCGAGCCGTCTGGGTTCCGATCGATTCGATCGGAACCCTTTTAACAATGACAGCCCTGGCAGTAGCGATTGCCGGGGCCGAATGGACGGTTATTCCGGATTTCAAACCTGAGCGGAACGAGCAGGAGAGGAACGAAAAAAAAGTAAAGTCCCGTGTGAGTTTCCTGGCGAAATGATCGAAATGAAGCGAGGAGCTCCTGTTCACAGCGATGCGTATTAGGATATCGGTGGGACGCGCTCTATTCACTCAAGTTGGGAGGACCTTCAGACTTTAGGGTATGGGTGATTAATTCTATCCTTGCTTTGTTTTGCTATGTCCATCTGTCGTGTTCACGTATGTAGGTCGCCCCAAATGTGTTTAGGGTTCCTCTCATTCTCTGTTGACTCTTTCGCGACTTTGATGCCAATTAGGAGAGGACATAATTCGCGGTGCCAGACCTCGAGTTCAGGGACGGCTCGGACATTCGATGTAGCGGTACCGACCGAAAACTTGCGCTTGAGAGAAAAAGTTCAGCCGCAGTTCGAGTGACTTTATTCGCGCAGAAGTCGAACATTAGTGATGATTCCCCACGCGAACCAAGGGCGTCGGGAGCTTGAATAACGCTGAACATGTTCGCGAGTTCCGAACTCGCAGTGTCACAGCAGAAGCTTGTAGGACGGGTAGGGGAGGGATGGACATGAAATCATCAGACGAAGGTCAGGGTTTGAAACAATACTTACAGCGTCCTTTTATTTACAAATATTTCTTGTTTCTATCTTAGAAAATTGCGCCTTCAATCGAGGTGTCATGTTTACAAAATTCCGGTCATCTATTTACACCCGTCGAGTTCCTAGTTTTTCATCGGTTGCTCCATCGATCTCGCCCCGACACAATGTCGGACTCAATGAATTCGAATCGATGGAAAATATAGAATACAGAATCTTTTTCGGACGGAACTTTTTCCTTACGTGCAGCCTCTCCCCAACGAAACGTAGGAGGCGCTGCTCGTCCTCGCGGCTGACTCGGTTCGGGGTATTCGAAGTGAGATTCTGTCTCGGTGTCTATCAGCACAGACCGATCACAGTTACGATTCGTCCCTCCGGACTTCGGAGAGTGCTGATTTCCTTCTCTCCCTCGTCAAATCCTTCGGCTCCGCATCTTTATGAACAATTACTGATTCCACATTCGGATTCGCTAGCGTTTGATTACGAATTTTCCTTATCCGTGACTATTATAGCTCAAAAAATCAAATGGGCGAATAGGAGGTCACAGAAATCCGAATTTCATCATCATCATCAAAATCTCATTCGGGAATACCCCCGGATCTCCTCCTCAGAATTGGGTTTGCTGACTGTCTCTCGGTTCATCTTTGGTTTGGGATCGTTTCACCGATTGCCTGATGATCGAGCTTCGTTTTTTCTGGAATGAAATCAAATGAAGTATTATTCGGAGAACTCAGCTCGCCGCTCTGAGAATTCCTCGAGATCGAGACCGCTACGTTCGTCTCTGCTTCGCTCTGACTTTCGAGTCAGCGATGTTCTCCCCGTGGGAGCAGAAAACCCATTTTATCCTTCCTCTTCCGATTGTTAGCAGGAACGTACGCCGTAACGTTCATTTGAGGGGTTCCACACCTCATCTTCCATTAGAATTTATACATCGATTTTTAATCGATGTCGCCGTTGTGCAGTTCTCCGATAAGGGATATCTCAGTCAGCTTTCCGCTTTCTCCGGTCGATTCCGTAATCGCAAAACACAATTCAGGAATAGATATCGTCGAGTGGCAGCAAAATAGGGAACAGCGATCAGCAAAGATCCAATAAGATCCCGAGTCCAGGAGAAATAGAAAGATTTCTCTTGAAAGGATCGACTGTCGTCTTGACAGCAGAGTGAGTGACTACGTGTTGTTAGGCGGGTGATTTGAGCTTGGGGCGCCCTTTCAGCGGACGGCCGACTCTCTTTTGAAGTCTGCTCGGATCGCGGGCTAGTTTGAGGCGAGTTGAGGAAATGACTCCTCTGCGAGCAGAGCCATGCACGCTGATCGGAGTTTTGAACATGATCAGATCGATCCGCCACGCTCATTGTTGGACTTTGACGGGGACGATGCCGACAAAAGCCCAATTCACGAATCCAGCTTCACGCCTGTCGGGGAGTGTCTCAGCGGCACTTACGGAAGCGAGGCGCGACAGCGGCAACAATACCGAATCATAACTGCACAGGGCGCTACTACACCGTCAACGGGACAATGAGTTCAACTGAAAGCCCCGCAGAAGATGATCGACGCTTGTGCCTCGCGAACGGAAGAAAATATACGGCGATAATTCCATTGGATTCCCCGAAGAGCGAAAGGCAACGAAATATATTTCCCCCATGACCACTGTGACTGTTTTGCATAATCCGGAAGGTACAGCGATTCTCTCGATAAGAACCAACTCTAGTCGGCCGTCACTGAGTTGTCGGCAACAACGTCGCCGGTTTAGGCGAACGAAACACTGCGCCGGAGCGCGGTGGCCGAAGATGGTCGTCAAGATATTTTTTTCTCTCTCGATCGGTGTAACAGAAAACTAAGCACACACACGAGCGGCGGCGTGATGATTCATGAGTGATCGCCTAAATAACTGACCTTTGACATAAACTGTTCTTCAAGTGGTCGGAGGATATCCATGCAGCTGACATCGGGGTTGTACCTCAGGAGCATCGGGAGATCGCCTCGATCTTCCGCGAACGAGACCCGTTTACCCTTCGAGGACGGCCGGCAGTCTCCGCTCGAGCTGGATTTTTTAAGGAGCGATCCCGGGAACGTTGTTCGGGATGCGCCGGCTTCGAGGGACGCTGACGGAGATTTCTGAAAGGGGCATGATCTATGAAATACGTTCAAGTTTTTCTGTGGGGTTCTCCACGGAGCGGAGATAGTGTCCCAAGACGGCAAATGCCAAACTTCTTATCGGCGGGAAGAATGGAAATCAGTACGACACGCGGAGAGGGAGCGAAGCGGAAAATATGCGCTTCCAACGTGACCGCCGGAACTACCGCCGCTCGAAGTAATGGGAACCACGGTCCCATGGTGTCTTTTAGCGGTTGACGTGAACGCGACGTAATTAGTTCGATGGGCTTCAGATGAGCCGCGTTCGGCTCGCTGCCTGCTTTCCCGGACTGGTTTCTTCTTCTCCTCCGATTTCTCTTTCTTGCGCTTTTTTCTGCTTGTCGCTAGATTTCACCCGAAGGCACATTTGTGTCATTTTCTGATTCGGACTCGTGTGTCAGTCATTCCGCTGGCCGAGCGATTGGTCAGTCGTTGGACCTACGAGTCAGTCGGCGTCCGTAACTTGGGAATGCCTGGCAAATTGGTCGTTTTCCAGACCGGCTTGGAGTTGGGAAGGCACACAAGTCACGATAGCAGCGTCGCTTATCGCAGAGTAGCTCTTGAGAAGCTGACAATGAAAGAGCTCAAATAGAGTCTGATTCGAAGAACAAAGCAGACGAATCCTGAACTTCCGAACGAGGCCGATTTCGGCGTCGCGTCGTAGACCCAGAGGCATTCAGGTGTCTTGAAGTTCTGCGATATGATGACGACGCCGACAGGTGCGGGGGTAATCTCTCGCTATCTCTGTCTACACGAGTGTCTCATATATGGAAAAAATCGATGCGGGACAGATTTGGAATAAGTTTACTCACCACGAGCGGGTTGTGCTTGAGAGCGGCAGCTCTCTGCGCGCAGGGACTCAACTCGATAATTTCTTCGATGATCTCCTCAAATTCTTCGTCACTCTGGCCACCGTCGATCTCCTCGATGGACTCGACGTCGTCGTCGGTGTCCTCCTCAACGTCTTCCGGATCCTGCTCTTCCGATGTCGATGGTTCTTCGACGATCGGCACTGCCACGGGTTGATCCTGACCGGTCAGCTTCATGCTGTACGGAAGGAAACTCAAGTCTAAGATCATGCTGCGTTGGCACACACCGGAGTAAACTTGCAGGAAACTCGACTGCCACGATTCCGGAGCCCGCGAGAGCATGATTAGTCAGATGGGAGCGTCCAATGTTCTCGAAAAAGTCTAAGGCGGTAATCGCTGGCGAAGATTAAGACTTCGCGTCTTCGAGCGAACTGCGGGGGTCTTTTCAGGCGTTCGCCTCCCGGAGAGTCCGAAAATATCTTCACGGTGCTGAGTTCGCAGCGGTAAAGGCGGGCACTGAGGAACAGATTGTTGTCTGGGCGCCGATCGAAGCTATTCTTCGATGATTGGTCAACTCGGAAGTGAGAGCTTTTCGTTCGACGGTCTCTATTTTTGTACAAAGCCGTTCGTTGTCGATCGCTTTTAGTAACACGAGCGGGGTGAGTGGGAGGGCAAGGAAAAATATTCGCGCTAAATCTAGATGAACAAGGTCCATCGTAAACCGCAGTGTCAACAGCGTCACAATCGCCACCACTCGAACTGTGTTGCTGCGCTTTGCTAATCAACGGACTCTGCCCGATACTGTCAAACCACTGAATGACTCGTGAGTACGACTCTCGAATACCGTTGTCAAGTCGAAGGACGCGACATCGGCGACCGAGTCAGATCCATCTGGAGCCGATCACCCCGGTGGGATCCGCCGAGACCATGCGCTGGGATTCTTTCCCTTCGACGATACCGCTCGGTGATGGCCGTCTGGCTCGTTTCCGGGAAAACCACGGAAGCCTTCCCAAAATCTCGGTCAAGCGCCGCGCTCACGTCGGCCATCTCCGTCCTCCGGGAGGACTGGGCTCTATATGACGCGTGTCACGTCGGGATCCAACGTCATCCGACGTAGCGCACGACATCACGATGATTACCTTCGACAGAGCTTGGAATCGTATCTTTGAGCTCTACAGCGAATTTGATCATGACTTACATTGTCTGTAGAGAGTTTATCTTGTCGGTCAGTTGTTTGACTTGTTTGTTGAACTCATCCCGAAGAGATTCGACTTCTTGTTCTTTGATGTAACAAAGTTCCTTCATCTCCTTGGTGAGTCGTTCCTGCCAGTACAACTCGATATTCCTGCGAGGGGATAAGGAACAAGAACATTCAGAATCCGAGAAGACAAAGCAAGAAGAGGATACGGCTTTCCTTCGTTTCCATCCTCCCAAATTCCAAATTTCCTCCCCCCTATTGCTCTCCGGTGGAATTATTCCCAAATCAAAGGCTGCTACTGAGATCAATAATTTTATCACCAATCACCAGATTTGCAGCGCCCGAAGTCCAATGCGGACGATATTTGGACTGCTAACGCTCGATAAGTCACCAGCGCTAATTGCTGTTTCGATTGCACTCAATATTATCTATATCAATATCATTATTATAATAATAATATTATTATTATTATTATTGTTGTTGTTGTTGTTTTTCTCCAATAATCACTGGGGTGTCGTGATTATATTCACGGATAAAGAAGGCGAGTCGCTCTCGCCACGTGGTCGCGGCTCCTTCCAGGAGCATTTGGTATGACGTAGGCTGTACCGATTCCGAGGGTTGTAGCGATGGAAAGTTGCTCGATTGGACGATCGTTGCAGAGCGTGAATTATAGCATGTTCGCTCGCGTCTACCGAAGCTGTCGTCGAAGGCTTTCCGTTGACAGCCAGCATCTCGGTGAGCTGTTCTATCTTTCCCTGTGACCGGTCCGGCTGTTGATCGGTCGGTCGGTCGCTCGGTCAGTCTGTCTTTCCAGGTTTTTCAATTCTTTCGCGCGTTGAAAGAAAGATCTACCGGTCCAGTGATGGCGGCGATGACCGTCGATTCGAATACCGCCACAATATAATGGATACATATGTCTAGAACATTTCGAAAGACCGATATTGTCCCGACGGGGCATCAACGAGTTAAGAGAAATGCGAGCCCGACCGCACGTGTTGCAGCTATTCGCACTTGTTGTGGATAATGGTCAGTATCGCGATCCAGATCTCCATTTCAGGTAATTGCAGTCATGGATGCCTGCTACAGATAGACGGCTTGGAACACTTTCGCGGTCGAGCTTCGATTACGATTCTGCGTGAGCAGTGAATATGCCTCCTCTCAATCGATCAAGGAATCGAATGAGCACAAGTTCCATCAGGAGCATCGAGCTGCCTCATGAAGCTGCCTCAGCCCCAGCCAGGAAGGTCTATCGATCTGCGAGATGCCATGCGCGAACGGAGAATCATGCTTTCCGCGAGTCCCGCTGATTTTCGAATTATGCGAAACTACATTCAGCCCACCTGATCTGGTTGGAAGCCTCTGTGCGTAACTTGACAATCTCGTCTTGCTTCTGGCTTAGCTCATCCTGGACTTCGCTGAGCCGCATCTTCATCGCCTGAAGTTCCTCGGGAACCTCAGCGGAGCTGCCGAGTCTGTCAGCGCTAGGGCTGACGAAAGCCTGAACGCCCTTATCTGTCTGTGAACGGGAAACTTTGAGTACGGTGAGCCGGGGCTATATTCTTCATTCGGATCTACCTCAGATTCGCAAGCTGCTCGTGGGTAACAGAGAACTCATGTGATTTTCTTCCCTTTAGCCGGAAATTCAGGGAGGGATTTTTCTTTGTTTCAGACCGGTGAAGTATTCGAGGCGTGTACCTCTTTCTCTGGGGCTCTTCCGTATAAGGACAGCTACGTGGTCGGCTAGCCATTCAGCTAGTCAGCGAACGAAGATCGAGCAACGCAAGCCTACAAGGACCCTTTGACAGTTCCTATGGCTGGCTACACTTGTTTTGCTAATGTTTCGCGTGTGATGCATGTGAAAAGACCTCGTAAACGGAAACGGGCCGTCGCTACGATGGCTGCTCCTGCTTTTTACAAGTGGTCGGCCACCGCCGCCGCCGCGTGAGCGAACGGAGCGGCAAAACTGACCCTTGACTCCATCAAAAGTGAAGTCGATCTTTTCCTGATCGTCTCCGATCGAGCAAGCGACCGTACGCCCTCCCTCCTGCCCGCCCGCTCATCCACTGGCAGCGGGCCCGGCCGTTGCCGTAACCGCATCAAGATCACTTCAATCATCTGGCATTTCACTTTTTTTTTCACTACGATTCCGTGTTTCCCCTTCGGCCCGAATTGATGATGAATCGTACGCGTAATGATCACCAGAAGCCTGACACTTTCTAACACGCCGGTCGATTGGCCATTCTAGTCGCTGAAGATGGCGCGAAATTCAGTGATCAGCCGGTCGGAAATCAGCCTTGACGGGACAGCGGCTAATCGCTCTATCTGAGCAGGGACGAGTCCGATAAGATAACGATACTGAGACTGACTTACTTTTCTTCTCCCGCTGCATTCCTCGAGCTCTCGAGATCCGCTCTCTGAAAGTTAAGGGTTCGATTGTACTTAGTGAATTTGATCGCGCAATCTATTATCCTCCATTCCATTCCATTCACCGGCTCCATCGGAAGCTTCTCGTATATTCCCTATTCCATGCTCGCACTTTTCGAATGCCATTTTGCAGCCTTTCTCTGACGACATGTGGCTGATCTTTATTTGCTGATCCTCAAGCAATTCTCCGAAATCGAGCCCCTTGGATTCGTTCCGTTCATTGGATAGGCCAGTTCTCGGAATGATTATCAGCTTTTGGATCGTCTTGGTTGTCTCGGATCGAGGGTCGTGTATACAGATGGGCTTGTTCTCCAGCTTGTTACCCGTGCTTCGTGTCACGGTCTACGTATTGCCCGCCTCGAGATCCGTCGCATCGCATAATTAATCGAATCAATCTCTATTGCTGATCAGATATTCACCGCACATTATTTCAACGACGATCAGCGGGGATGACCGATCAGAGATTTTTCGCCATCTCCCGATAGATTAGGCTCTCAATCATGTCTTGAGCGATCGCTTCCACGCTCTCTTCGCGTCCGCGTGAATTTTCTCTCCTCACTCGGCCGTTCCTCCCTAAGCCTCGATGATAAATCCGGAGTGCAGCGGAGAGAAATCGTTCCCGAGCTCTTATTGCTATTCCAAAAAAACCGAGAGATTGTTACGATAGATTCTGGATCCTCGGGCTCGCGAGGGAGTCAGTTCATGACTGCGATAGGGGAGCCCGGCGAATTTCCGGCTGGCGTCACTCTTTCAATCGCGCGCGGGAAATTTTTCATTGGAAAAAGCTTCTCCCGAGCTCAGCGATGCCGACTGAGTCAGAATCGCGGTGACTCCACTCAATCGACGGACCCAGTCTTGACGACTGGGGCTCCGATACCGAAAGCGTCAACAATAATAAAGCCAGCAACTCTCCTCCCTCCTCCGGCTCTGTTTCCATAGCCAAGGAGGATAACGAGCATTCGGAGGATCACCGCGTCCCACAATCTGTTTGCATTGTCCAAGATGACGACGACGTGTAATATTCGACCCCGCGGCAGTGACAGCGATCGCATCCTTTCGCGCGCGCCTCATCACGGTTGGTTAGAGTTCTGTTGCCACCGTGCCTCTGCTTTGCTGCTGCCAGCATTGTTATTATATCCTTATTGTGATAATAGCGTCAAGGGGGTGAAAGCGGACGCACTAGAGACGACCGGCGGCGGAAAGTCTGATTTGTTCTGTCAGTCTCGCGTTAGTTACGGTCTGGTATAATAATATCAAGAGGGAAAGTCTTCACGGTACGGACGGCACAAAGTTCAGGGCTTCGTGGAGCCGTTCTGGCCGCCTTCATGCGTTCACTCCTCAAGTCGGTGCGATGAGCGTTGAAGGTATTCATTTCCATGTTCCATCTTCTTCCCAAATTAAGCACGGTAGAGTCAAACAGCGGACGAGCCAAGCAGCGAGCCCCGAGTATCAACCGACCAAGCGACCGCGCATCCGACGCAGCAACGCTCATACCTTGCGACGCCGCACCACCGGAGCGAAAGGCAATCCAGGAAGAGCCCAGAAGACAACGCTACGACATTTAATTGTGTCACCACACGAGCAGGAAAACATGTTTCCAAACGACACCCTGACTCCACAGGTTGCGAGCGACTTCGGGAGGTTATTCTTATGGACCAAAGTACCTGACATGTTTTCCCACCGCTCGCGTCTCGCGGCCGGCCCGAGACGTAGATCCGAGATTGTCGGGAAGAAACTGCTTGGGAATCGGGGATAGTAAAATTCCTCGATTTTTCCAAAGACCTCCTCTGCCAGCCCAATCCAATACGGAGTAACCGCGATCGGGCATGTATTGCCATTTGGGTAGCGGTGTTCGGACGAACCCCGAGAATTGACCGATTCTCCTGTCAACACCGACTTGGACGATCCGTATCACAAAAGAACCACCTCCAGTCCGACTCTTCAAGCCCGGCATAATTCCTAACACACGCAGAGACAGACTAGGACACTCGCTCGGATGTATTAATGACAAAGTGCGACCGATCCACGAGCAGTCCCTCTAACAATTGCAATCCAGATGTTTCGTCTTCATCATCCTCCTCGACCACGCGTCGCGGCTCGCTCAGGTCAAACGGAGCGATTGTTGACGTTGTGGACAGTTCTATGTGAATGGCTCCTATCTCGAGCGGAGCAAGGTTCCTCGCGTCTCTCCCGAGATTCCTGGAGTTCCGTTTTCACGGAAGGATTTTCTACTGAAACCTGTCGATGACTGCTCAAAGGCCCGACCGCCCTCATGACTCATCTACATTTGGTTGAAGGTTCAAGGCGGACCAAGAACTGACACAAGGGCGAATGGTGCCGATGGGACTCAATGACGGCGGGAAGATTGATGCGGAGAATGGCAGTTTTCCCGCCGAATAAATATAAATAGCCGGTCCGACTGAACCGCGTGGCTCGGGCCGAGTCGTATGCTCGCATGGACAGCCGCTGCAAAAGCTGCCGTCAGGGTATAGAACCAGCCCTCGGTAGCATCCGGACGCGCCCCGGGCGTTATCGCCCGGAGACTCACTTTCTGGCGAAGGCTATTACGCTGGCCGAAAGGAAAGTGACCAACTTTCGCTGGTCCTTCTGTGCGGAGATCTTAGAAACCCGTCAACACTGTATTATAAATACAGTTCTGAACAGAATCGTTCAAATTTCGTTCGTGAGGGGAACCCGGGGCGTCAGGCGCGGCCACATGGGTGCCGTTTCATTGAATGCTCGAACTTTCGCTCGACTCACAAAACCAAATATGAAAGAAAACTGGTCCGCTCGCTCACTGATGACGCGAGGGGCGTGTCGGAAGCCTCTGCATACTGTGGCTTGCTCTTCCATGATCCTACTGATTGAGAAGAATCCGGACGGACTCTCTCTCGGTAGAAGTATTGACAACGTGGCACTCACTTTGGTCTCGGAGCCTCCGGATTTCTGTCTGATATTTCTTGTGGACGCGATTGAGCTCATCGTTCAGGAGCTGATCGAACTCTCGAAGCTCTTCCTCGTGCTGTTTCTTCAAAATCATGATTTTATGCTCGAGCTTGTCTCGAACCTCCGTCAGCTGATTCTCATGTTTGGTTCTTTGTTCTGGAATGGTGAACGGAACCTTCATTGAAATCGTCGGAGCGCGCAGTCGCGGGGTGAGCCCGAGGAATCAATGCCGAAATACTCGATATTTTCCTGGGAACTGCTACCGAATCGGTCGCCCGCCCATCGGATAGGGAGAAGAATCTTTTTTCGTGAGCGTGAGTTCAATTTATTGTGGGGAGAAGTTGTGTAAGCAAAGCCGAAATATCGCCGTCACGGAAAATTGGCATTTCTGGGCGAAGAAAGTGATAATCACCGATTGTGTTGATATCGTGAATTCGTGTGAGCTCCTCCCTGAAGCGTTCGATGCGCTCCTGAACTTGCCAATCGAGCTCGGAATCTGAGCTCGTGCTTTCAGATTCTTCCGAAACACTTTCATCCGATGAACTGGAATCTTCCCTCGATAAGAGCAGATCGTTTTTCTCCGCGATCGCTTCTTCAAGCTCTTTGCGCAGAGACACCATCTGAAAAGCGAATATGTATCATCCATCGCTCATCGGTTCTACACGCTTCGCTTTCAATTAGCACCGAGCGCTTCGCTATCAAGCGAAAAGTCAACATTGAGCATTCAAGCGGCGCTCTTCGTACACGCCATGCACCTTCCGAAAATCGTGAACTAGTTGCTGGTGTTCTTCTGACACCGTACCGCAATACAACGAGCCCGAACGATTCGCCCCATGAAGGAGATGAAGCCTCTGGAACTCCCTGCATCGGGCAGAGTATTCCACGCCTGCCGAATCCTTCTTGGAAGCTCCCGGCTCCCGATGGAGACGTTCTCGGTTCTTTTTTTACGTCATCGAATTTCCCAAGATTGACTTAATCTCAAACGCGACGTCTTCTGTGCGATGCAGCCAGTGATTCAAGAATCGCATCCCGGAGTATTGCGGTTCCGAAGATTAAATCCTCCGAGTGAACAACTGATTGAGAGGAAAATTGCGTCTTCTCAGTGATTGAGATGTGACGCCCGTCATTCCGTTAGAACCGTATCCCGCTTAGAAAGCCGATCCTGGTTCACAGCTCGTATTTCAGATGCGCCGGAGAAGGCCGCGGATAACTTCTGGGTGGCCGTCGTCTTCTTCAAACTAATAAAGCACAGGTGATTAAGTCATCTTCGCTCAGTTGAGCTTCGTGAGAATCTGAGGATCAAACGGGAATCTGTTCTTCGGGATCGCTATCCCAACCTGCCGCGTTGAAAATCGGAAAATCGTACAATTTCGAAAAAGCTGAGACCCATAGGCCTGGATTTCAAGTGTACGAGACTCGTCAAGATCGAGGCTCGGAGGGAATGGAGATTTCCAACCGTGAACTTTCCTCTTTCTTCTGCCGCGCTGGGCACTGTTTTTCGGGAAGCACTTTTTTTAATCCGAGCCCCACTAAGAATTAGTCGAATTACTTTCCAGTGGCCCCTCTTCCTTTCGTTTTATTAGCCTCAGCTTTCTTTTTTTGGCTGACTTGTTTGTTGTGGTCTTGAAATCATTTTGCACCCGAAGCGCCTGCGGACTTCTGAAGAAGCTGGGACAGAAAAGCCCGAACAATGCGGAGATTTTATCATTCACTACCGCCGCCGTCATCATCGTCATCATGATGAAGGAATGATTGAGATGGAACAAAGGACACATGGGCTTGGAATCCAACTTTAAAGTTCGCCGGATTAGAAAGACACCTTCCTCCGGCGGCGAATCACAGGATTTGACCCCGAGCGCTTTTGATTCCGATCTATCTTACTGCCGGGCTTCAAATTGCTCACGGGGTATATTTTTTCGTTCCCCTCTCAGCTCTCCTTTCTGCATAGCTCCTTTGCCTGATTGTCGTCACCGTCGCTTTCTCACCTCCCGTCCCTAAATGACGGTATCTTTCGTCCGGTATAAGTTTTTTGGCTTTCAGTGCTCTGTGCGACCTTCTCACAGAGGCGTCAGGCTGGAAAATTCCGGCGTAGGCTTGTCGCGAAAAATCGGGAGGACAACAATGCTCATTGTCAATAATTTTTCCAGAGTTTTTGATACAGCGACTCTTCCCGGGATAGTTTCTGTAGCCGACACACACGTGAAAAGTTCGGAGTGGCTCAAATCCGAGGGATCCAGCAGCTAACCGTACCCATCCGAGGATATCGATCCTTGAAATTCCGATGAAAATCCAGAGGAGCTCTCCAGTGACTCACCTCATCGTTGAGTTGGTCATAGCGATTCTGCCACTCTTCATTGAGTTCTTTCAGTTGACAGTCTTTTTCGGCGAAGGCGGCTTTGACGTATTCCTCAGTTTCTTCTTGGAGCTGACTCATCAAACGTTCTTTCTCCTCGGTGTAAGTGAGGCTGCATGATGGGAAGAAAAAATTCGATTAATATTTTCTTGATGCGCTGCCATGCCGCGAAGAGTCGTCCACACGATATAGGACTCCGCGAATCGATACTCGATGTCGAGCGGATTTCGGAAACACGATCCTAATCCGTGCGCTAGAAAACGCTCCGAAACTAATTAATTGCTGGAGGGAACTCACAAACGCTTTTCCATCTCAGCGGCGGCTTCTTTCTTGAACGCTTTCAAATCGGCCTGGAGGCGTTCGATCATCGCTTCTTTGGTCATGACCGAGCTCGCGAGCTCGTGTATCCGATGGTTTTTCTCTTTGAGCTCATCGCGACATTCTGCCAAATCTTGACTGATTTTCTGGAGCTCTTCCAATAATTTGGGGGTCTTGTTCTCCGAAGCTGAAATGTTGTTTTGTCTCTCTTATCTCGAATTCGCTCCGCCCGGAACGCGTCCGACAATTTTTAGAGCGATGTCAAAACTCGCGCGCCAGCTCGAGGGAAAATCTACCACACCGAGTGCTACCTTGACCGAGCGGTCAAGGAACCGAGAGCTCCTAGGAACATTTCGAGCTTTGAGCGGAACTGGGGCTTCACTCTGGAACCTATTGTCGTATCGGGCTATTGTAGGCATAGCAGAAGATAGGCTCGTTATTCTCTTCTTCAGTGTCTCTCCTCTGACCGCGCTATGGCTCTGAGGTAGTCTCACGATATCCCTCCTCCTCCTCTCCTTTTCCCGCACCATCTAAGAATAGCGTTTGGCCATTCTGACGGCCTGGCTCAGCATCTGGCCGACCAACTCTTCGTCTCCTAAGCCTTTGGCCTTTGCTGTCGGCTTCTCGAGGCAAGAGCAGGGGCGGCACCTACGGCAGCAACTCACCAAGGAGACTTCGCTGTAGATGGACCTGCGTATGTTCCAAATATTCCATCTTGCACTCGTACTGCTCGAGCTCATCTTCAAGCTCTCGAATTTTGCTGTCACGTTGATTGATCTCGTGCTCACGCTCCTGAAGGATACAACTCGATGATAAGAATAATCACTGTTCGGGCGTACTCCCGTTGGAGTTGGCGCTCTTCCCCCGAGGCTCGATGAGCTCCACATGCTTAAATCTATGGAAGGAAATCCCGGCTTAATTTCTTCATGGGCACGCACCCTTTGTACAGAGCGCATACGGTCTTCAACCTGACTTCGTTGCTCCAGCAAGTCTTGTCGAAGCTTACAAAGATGTCGAACTTTCTCCTTCAGTTTGACCACTTCGGTCTGCAGTTTATTGATGACTATTTCTTGTTCGGTCTTCGTCGCTTCCAACATGCTGATCTTGTCTGCAACAGAATAATGTAGGATTAGGAGGCTGCGAGATCAGTTTTGTGGAATTTCGTCCAGATTTTCCGATGCAGGCGGACTTTTCCAGTCATTCCTAATAGAGTCAAAAACTCCATATTTGCCGAAGGCTTCGATTCGTCAACGCTGTCAAGCTTTGCCGATCTCTGCCTGTTCACCATAACTGCTTGTCGATCCCTTCGATTTCAAATGCTAGATCGAACGAGGGCTCGTCACAAACCCACGTTCTGAGCTCGTGTGTCAAGGTTCGCGCCAGCTCATAAAAGCTCTCCACTGCTCTCGCACCTTCTTCCATAGACCCTCGAGTCTCAACGGCTGGATTGGAAAAAAAACGAGAAAACGCGATTCGAGAGAAATGCAGAGTAGGCTTGGAAAATTCGGCGGGAGAAGAACAGGAGTCTCAAGGATTGCTCCAGAGTTTTCCCCATCTTTCCCCCGAACTTGTCTCTCTAGTTCGTAGTTGATTGGGGAGAACTATCCTCTTGATTTCTTTCCGCATTGAGAGGCTACATAGCATTTTACCTCGGGCTAGCCGGGTGAGATTGTTGTCCAGGCTGAGAGTTTTCTCATTTTGCAAGACGGTCGGCGCATTGAAGTCCTTCGAGTCGTTGTACATTTTGAACTCTTTCGTATCTCGATTCACGTCGTTCAGCACCGTCAGACCTTTATTGATCTGTTTGATCTCTTTGTAGGTATTGATTGCCTTCCTGATGGGTGGTGGAGTATGGAACTCGATCTCATCCGCAGACTCTGGATTAGGCGGTGCGCCTTCTTCCGAGTCGGAATCGATATTGGCCATGGGCGCGGACGTCTGTTTCCTGCCGAACATGTTTCGTCGCTCCCTTGAGGGAAAGGTTTTCTTGGCATCCTGTTTCGGATTACTCTTGATCATGCTCTTTTCGTCCTTCATATTGTCCTTAGCGCTCCTGTCAGGTTTCCCGACCCGGTCCTTCGTCTTGCCTCTCTCGTTCGGAGGATCCTTTGTGCTCTCATTGCCACTCTCCTTCAGGAGAGTAGGAGGAGTCTTGAAAGAACCGTCGGAACTCCTGCTCTTCCGCGATCCACTGTCAGACACATCACCAGGTGAATTCTTGCGCTTCAGCCGCGGCGTCGAACCATTCGCACCCATGGCTCGCCGAGCTCCACCGAAACACGACACTTTGCTCGATTTCGGAAGCTGCAGAGATTGTGGGATTTCCGCGCGGTGCCGTGAGCCAGCCGCTGATCGGCGGAGCGACAATCTGCCAGGAGGTCCTCAACGGGCTCCTCGGCACATCAGGATGTCACTTGGATTCAGGCCGAAGACACCCAGGACCTCCGCGCATCCAATCACATAATTTACTCAGTTTATCGTTTCCATTTTGTTTCCGGTCCTCATGGACCGAAACACCACGAAAGGCACGGCGAGGCACTGCGATAGAGGGGCTGTTCCCTGCGACAGGGTCCGAGTGCTCTGAGAAGCCAGGTAACGAGACGCAGCAGTGCCCGCAACCAGAGGAAGGTCCTGTCGCGGCAGCAGCGGCGGCTGCGAGAGACCGAGAGGGACCGGGATGAGCGCGCGGTAACCACGGCTACGACAACAGAGTTGTCGTCGCCGACGGGTCGTACCTAGTGGAAACGGTTTGCATTGTCTGACGCAAGTTTCAACCTCAAGAAACTCAAGTTGGCAGACGACTGCCCACCCCGCTGGTTGGAACTAGCGTCAGCGAAACATCGTTCACTCAATTCAATGGCGTTCGCGAAAGACGAAAGCAAACACAGGCCTCTTCTCCCGAATCTTTCGAAGGCCAAGAGCGATACCGGTCTTGAAGTCTCCGACATCATCGATTTCGAAATTTCCAATTGAGCGCGCGACGACCTCTTATCGAACATGTGAACTCGCCCGCGAAGTTCCGCAAACTTTATTTTCTGCAGAGAACGTCGGAGTTCTCGTGGAGCCATCCTGGTCGTCCTGGATGAGCTCGACACGGCTCGGAACTAGGGCTCCGAAGATTTTACGTAGGGACACTGGATCTTCAGAGATCGGAGCTCGCATGACCATGCTCAAGATGGTTTGAGCTCCATCTGAATTTATGTTCGCCGATCCGCTAGATTCTAGATAGCGGAAAAGCTTGCAAATCGCAGCACGGACAGGGAAGGACGGATTTCCGTATGTTGTTTGAATTCTCCCCCCGCTCTGCTTCTCCATGGTGAATTACTTGTACGTGGTTGAGTTCTCGGACCCTGATTACTGTCACACGTGTAGCCCAATTTGAAATGTGGTCACTTGGTCTGGCAGCTCGGTGCTTCAAAACGATCGTCATCGTCGTTCCGCCAACCCTGCCATCAGGCGCTTCTCCAACCACACGCAACATGAATTGGACGCTTCGCGGGTGATGTTGACCGTCGCGAACGGGAGGGTCGAAATGAGAGCGAATGCTAACTCGACGGAAATTTCGCCGATTTCCGGGAGCGATAATTCTGGGATAACTTATGCGAATGATTCATGCTCTTTCGCCGAGTCCCATGTCACCCATGCCCTGGGGCACCCCGAAGAATGGCGAAGAAGAGAGCGGGCAGAATTCCATGACAACGAATTAAAAAATACAGGAGCTGAAGACGCTCTTCCTGAGGTCGAAACTGGAGCCTAATTTACTTCTTGATTTCATTTTCTTTTTTGTTTCAGATTTTTTACGCTTTCGTGTCACCGGCGAATCGAGCAAACGACCGGAGAAGCAGGCGATCAATCGAACGATAGATAGATAGCCAGACGGACGGACATGTAGGTAGATAGATCGACTGCCTCCATTGCCGGTCGCCGAGACTCACCATGAACGTGGTGGACGTAATTTGACGTCGCAAATTGTGGCCGAGCTGTGATCAAGCTCAAATACTTGTCCACCATTAACGACCGCATTGATATCACCTGATTGGTTAGAAAACGGTTTCGAACGAAGCTGAACGGGAAAAAAGAAGCTCATTTCCGTTTCTTGTTCGCCCAGCGGAAGGGCAAGCGTTCGGCCCGCCGGCTCTTTCAATCGCTCCCAGCAGGTTTCTGTCCTGTTTTCTGCGACGCGAAAACGCTGCTCCGCGCGTCCGTTTGTGATTGCAAAGGAGCATTAGCGTCCAAATTATAATACCACAAGTGTGGAATGACAGATTGGCGCGAGGAGAAGAAGAAAGATCCAACTTCCCGGCCAGGGGAAGCAGCGATTGAATTCTCTTTCAATAAAATTGATCGGCAGGCCAGAGCACTGATCCGGAAGGAAGACACGGGCAACATTCATAGAGACATGAGCTCCGTACATATCCAGAATGTTCATCTCATTTTGAAGAGAAAGTTTCTGGAAGGAGTTCCTGAGCGGGCTCGGAACACGCCCCGTACCCTCCGCGAGGCTTCTGGCCCGAGAGGGAAGCAACATGTGACAGTCCCTTGGTTCCAATGGCTGATCTTCTGTCTTCCAAAGTCGTTTACAAGAACACACACAGGTTACAATCCAGTTGATTGGGTAGCAGAGGAGGACCCAGCCCCGGCACAAGACATCTAACCAGCTGAAAGACGATGTGCCGGTCCGAGCAACTAAGCAAGCAAGGCGTCCGAAAAGAGCGGAACGAACAATCGGTCTATGTATAGGGTCCAGCTGCTGCCGGTGACTGCTATATAGGCGGGTAGCGTGCCAATTAATACCAATCTAGAAATGTCGAGACACGGCTTTCCAAGCAGGAGTCCGGAGTTGTAGAGTCGTTAGCCCGCTGTCGGGAGGGGACCTCAATCCTTCACTCAAGTTCCGGTCTGGAAGGTGCCCCGTCGCTTCTCGGGTTTCCAGCCCCCGGAAAACAGGATTAAAGTTCTCTGATTCCGAAGCTCCCGAAAGATGAAGATTGTGGCAGCTGAATAGTCTGACAGGAGCGGCCCGACGGACCGAGACAGATTCGCGCAGGCACACCGGAGTTGTCTCGAGCGAGAGGTCGGTGGTTCGGATCAAGAAACCTGAGGATTCCTAGCGAGGCTTATCAAGCCATCGAGGTAGATGGAGTAGGTAAAAAAAATTGGCCGCAACCCCTGCGCGAGATTCGGTGAAAGTTCGAGGAGGACTCAGCATACAGAGGGGCCACACCAAGGGACCGAGCCGAGCGACTTCCGCATTCGTTTTCCATCAAGCTCTGCGGCGGAGAGGAAATGAACGCGAGCAGTGCTGCGCAGACAACAGATCATGCGACGCTCTGAAGCGACCCGCATGAATGTGAAATGGATTTCCCTTCATGGGAGGTGGACGAGTCAAATCACGAAATTCGATTCTTCAATTTATGCATGAGCTCCACCAGATCCGAGTCTCGGACGCTCAAAGAACCCGGGAGGACTCCCGGTCGGGCGATCAGACCGCGGAGCAGTCAGCTATCTGTCTCCCGGTCAAACAGCTTCGGATTGACAAAACACTGGTGTGGTCGCCCGGATCTGAAAGGTGAATCTTCCACAATTGGAACAGTCCAGAACGCTTGCGTAATAATTTTGGGCGCTGACGCTGAAGCTCGTTCAAGTGAAGCGAGGTCGACCGCAAACCGTTGCGGCATTGATTCAAATGGGGAAAAACAACAAATTGAGCATCGTCAACGGTTCATCAACGACTCCGGTCACACGGTCAGTGCGCGATGCGAACATCATCCAGAGATTCATGTAGAAGAGCTTCAACAATGCACAACGGAAAGGCGCGGCTCGAATTTTCACTGACGTAACGGGTTCGAGCGATGCAGCCGTGCTGAGCCATATCATTAGTTCCCGAGAACGCCCCGTTGACCGGGGTGAAATAAAACACTGACCTCTCGACAATTACAGCAACAACGATCGATTTTCTCTAAAGACTTGGATAATTCGCCAGCTCGCTCGCTCGTTCGTTCGTTCGCTTCTGCTACCACTTGAACGTGATTACTCTATCTGTGATTATTCATCTTTTCACCCACAACATTGACAGCGCATCGGGACGCCGCGCCGCCGGTAGGACTTTTCGTAAACATGGGTCAGGGTCCGAGGGTTAACGCGAGTGGGTCTCTTCATGTGATTTGAATTTACATACAGACTAATCGCGCTCAAGTATTCGGAGCTGATCACGCGCTTAGCCAATCCCTCAGAACGTCGCTGTTTGTCGTGATGTAGTCCGCCGAAGCTCATGAGGCTCTTCCGGGAGTTCCCAATGCGAGCTCTGTGCGCTAGTCTCAGCGAGAGAACTGTTCCGCATTGACCGCTCCAGATCCAACCTATTCCCGTACTGGGTCTATGAAATGGGACAAGAAAACCCAGGTAGACCGGGGACGCGCTAGATTGGAGCGGGATCATTAGGATGCTTCCTGATACCCTCGATCACTTGCTGATTCTTCCCGGGCATGCTCTCCGCGGAGTTCGTCGATGTCCGACGAATTAAACGTCGTACCGTTGTGCTGTCTGGTCTTTCAATCAAGGCTGGCACCTTGACCGACTTGCATCCATTCCAGCCGATCTTCTGCCCGAGAAATCAGACGGCGGAGGAAATATATAAGACGAGACTCAGCCTTTTGCTCTTCAAGACCGATTCGATTTGATCAGAGGTCTGCAGATTCCGGTCCGATCGCTCCCATATACGTCGGCCGCATCAAAACTCGATTGGACATCGCGGAAGCGACATCGATCACAGTCATGTTTACCTCATCGGACGCAGAAGAGCGCTCTCTCGACAAGAATAGGCAGAATGAGATGTGAGGTTGTGCGTGCGCGTCACCGAAGACGTAGGAGATAGACAAGCATCACATTGAGTCATGAAGGATGAGTCAGGAGCTTTTCCAAGAGTCTGCCCAAGGGCTGATTGCCAGAGTCGCTTGCGAAGAGATCTTCACGCCGCGATGAGGGCAAACTGGAAATAGCTCCCGACAAGTCGACCGGAGGGTGGCTAAATCAATGCTCAGTCACTCAGCCAGATGGTTTGCTCCAATAATTGAGACGGTGTCGTCTCTGGGAGCACCAGCTTCAAACTTCTATTGCGGTGTCCGAGGTGATCCGGAATATTCTCATGGCAGAATTTCCATAGATAGCATGATAAGTACTGTCGCATCGAGACGATCTCCCTCGTAGTAAGAGGGAAGATGATGAGAGCCTCGACTTCTTGGTTTCATGACAGCGGA